CCTCACCGCCCTCCTCCTCCTGCTCCTGCTCCTGCTCCTGCTCCTCCTCCTCCTCCTCCTCCTTCCTCCTCCTTCTCCCTCCCCCCTCTCTCCCTCCTCCTCCCTCCTGCGCGCCGCCGAGCCTTGGCGATGGCGCTCTCGGTGGCGTCGACGCGCGGGCAGCACGTCTGCGCGAAGCCCTCGCGGGGGGCGCGGGGAGCTCTGCACACGCCCAGGCCGCCGCCGGCGCTGCAACTTCGTCACGCCAGGCGAGGCTCCTCGAGAGATCGGCCCCCTCGGGGGGCCGCTTCGGATCAAAGATCCGGGAATTCTAAATCCGGGACTTCCTCCAGTTATATACGATTCTTTGCTTTAAACGGGAAAGCTGAACATCCGGACGTAAAAACACACGGCTTTAGAAATCCCACCGGGCAGGACCTTGCCAAGCCAACGCAAGATGATGAACTTCCAACGCATGACGGATCTTTACGACTAATACTACTCATCATACTAATCCCAAATACAAATAAGGATGCGAGTGGTGATAATGATACAAATAATGTTCATACTAGTGATTGCGATACCAACATAATGCCACTACTACTACTACTACTACTACTACTACTACTACTACTACTACTACTACTACTACTACTACGACGACTACTACCACTACTACCACGACTAATACCACGACTACTACAACACCTACTACCACAACTACTATCATTACTACTACAACAACTACTACTACTACTACTATTACTACTACTACGACTACTACCACTACTACTACTACTACTACTACTACGACTACTACTACGACTACTACTACTACTACTACTACTACTACTACTACTACTACTACTACTACTGCTTATAGTACTACTGACTATACTACTACTAACTACTACTACTACTACTACTACCTACTACTCCTACGACCTTACTACTACTACATACTCTTATAGACTACTACTTTCTTACTACTACTACGGACTACTGCGACTACTACGACTACTACGACTTACTACTACTACTACTATACTACTTATACTAAGATACTACTGCTACTTCTCTACAACAACAACTCACAAATACTAACTTACCTACTACAGCAATACTACTTACTACGTTACTACTAACTACTACGGAGACGACTACTTACTACTACTAATACTACTACAGTACCACTACTACTACTACTATGCTACTAGTACTGAGGACACTACTACTACTTTTCTATTCTTCTTCTACTTCTACTATACTTACTACTTCTACTTCTTCTTCTTATTCTACTTCTTCTACTACTACTATTACTACTACTACTACTACTACTACTACTACTACTACTACTACTACTACTACTACTACGAGTACGACTACGACTACGACTACGACTTTGACTACGACTACGACAAGTATTACTACTACTATTACGACCACCACGACTACGACTACGACTACGACTACGACTGCGACTACGTCTACGACTACGACTACGACTACCACTACTACTACTACTACTACTACTACTACTACTACTACTACTACTACTACTTCTACGACTACTCTACTACGACTACTACTACTACTACTACTACTACTACTACTACTACTACTACTACTACTACTACTACTACTACTTCTACGACTACTTCTACTATTACGACTACTACTACGACGACGACTACTACTACTACTACTACGGCTACTACGGATACGGCTACTACTACTACTACTACTACAACACGTACTACTACTATTACTACTAATACTACTGCTGCTCTTGCTGCTGCTACTACTACTACTACTACTATGACTACTACTACTACTACTACTACTACTGCTACTACTACTACTACTACTACTACTATTATGACTGTGACTACTACTATGACTACTACTATGACTACTACTACGACTACTACTACGACTACTACTACGACTACTACTACGACTACTACTACGACTACTACTACGACTACTACTAGTAGTAGTACTATTACTACTACTACTACTACTACTACTACTACTACTACTACTACTACTACTACTACTACTACTACTACTACTACTACTACGAATGACAATACTCATCGTAATGCGAATGATGGTACTGGTAATAACATAAGAAGCATTCTACGAATACTAATCACAATGAGGACGATGATAGAACACTGTCACGACGCGAACGAGGATGGGGACGACTGTTGCCAGAATGAACGGGAATCCTCTTCAATATTTGAACCCCGACCTGTGCTCCTGCTCCTCCTCGATATTCGGTTACTCCTCCTCCTCCTCGTGCTCATCTTCTCCATCTCGATCCTCGATAGCCCCCCTTCCTCGATCCTCAATCCTTGGTCCTCCATGATGTTCCTGATCGCTCCTCGATCGTAGATCGTAGATCCTCGACACTTGATCCCTCCTCAACCCCCTCGGTCATCGAATCTCCGTCCCTTCCCCTGAGCCTTGATCCTCGATCCCTCGTCCTCCCCCTCTTCCTTCCCCTCCTGGACCCTCGATGATCGATCCCTGTCCTTGATGCTTCATCCTCTTCTCCTCTTCCGATCCTCGATTTCCGATCCCTTTTCCTTGATCCTCGATCCTCAATCCTTCCTCCACCTCCTCGACACTCTAACCCTCCTCGGCCTCCTCGGCCTCCTCCTCCTCCTCCTCCTCCTCCTCCTCATCATCATCATCACCACCACCATCATCCTCATCCTCATCCTCATCCTCATCCTCATCCTCATCCTCATCCTCATCCTCATCCTCATCCTCATCATCATCATCATCATCATCATCATCATCATCATCATCAGCATCAGCATCAGCATCAGATCAGCAGCATCAGCATCATCAGCATCAGCATCAGCTCAGCATCAGCATCAGCAGCATCAGCATCAGCATCAGCATCAGCATCAGCATCAGCATCAGCATCAGCATCAGCATCAGCATCAGCATCAGCATCATCATCATCATCATCATCATCATCATCATCATCATCATCCTCATCCTCTTCCTCTCCTTCCTCCGTCCCTCCTCCTCTCCTCCTCCGTTTCTTCCTCCTCCTCCTCCTCCTCTTCCGCCCCATCCGATCCTCTTCGATCCCAGATCCTCGAACACCGAGCCTCCTCCTCCTCCTCCTCCTCCTCCTCCTCCTCCTCCTCCTCCTCCCTCCCTCCTCCCTCCTCCCTCCCTCTTCCATCCCACCTCCACCCCTCCTCCCGCAACGGGTTGTCAGGGGGGGCGCGCCAGCGTCCCCAATGGCACTGTTCCCGGGCCGCGCGCTGACGCCGCGCCAGCACAACCAACACGAACCGGCACTCTCGCCAGCAGGTAAGCGCGGCGCGTTAACACGTTGGCGGGGGTGCTAGCGCGCCACGCCGACAGTGCTATCGGGGGGTCGCCGCGGCCCGCTAGCACTACCCGCGGGGCGTCAGCGGGGGTGTTAGCGGGGGGTGTTCGCGGGGTGTTGGCGCGCCGCGCTAACACAACGCTGTGGGAGGAGAGGGGAGGTCGGAGGGAAAAGGAGGAAGGGAGGAGGGAGGAGGGTGGAAGGAAGAGGCTGGGGAGGAGGTTGAGGAGGAGGAGGAGAAGGATCGATACTCGAGGATCGTGGATCGAACGAAAATGATCGAGGAAGAGAATCCTGAAGAAGCGCGGAAAGATGGCCGAGGAAGCGGAGGAAGAGGAGAAGGAGCAATATCGATGCTGATGATGATGATGACGATGATGCTGATGCTGCTGCTGCTGATGATGATGCTGATGCTGATGATGATGATGCTGATGCTGATGCTGATGCTGCTGCTGCTGCTGCTGCTGATGATGATGATGATGATGATGATGATGATGATGATGATGATGATGATGATGATGATGATGATGATGATGATAATGATGAGGAAGAGTGGTGGTGGGAGGAGGAAGAGGAGGAAGAGGAGGAGCAGGAGAGAAAGAAGACGGAATAATACCAAATACCGATAACCGAATACAGGGGACGACCGAGAAGGAGGAGGAGGAGAAAGAAAAGGAGGAGGAGGAGCAGCAGCAGCAGGAGCAGGAGCAGGAACAGGACCCAGGAGGGGATCGAGGACCGAGGACCAGGAGGAAGGTGGAGAGGATGATCAAATAACCGAGAACCGACTATCGGGGCGGACCGAGGAGGAGGAGGCGGAGGAGGAGGAGGAGTAAGAGGAGGAGGAGGAGGAGGAGGAGGAGGAGGAGGAGGAGGAGGAGGAGGAGGAGGAGGAGGAGCAACAGCAGGACCTAAGAGGAGGATCATGAGGAGGATCCAGAAGGAGGACTCGTCGCCGCTTTGTCATCTCATGGGCCGTCGTTTTCGCTAGTAAGTTGCTCTGCTGGGACCAAGGTTATTTATCAGAGAGCCTGCCCCTCTCTGCTCTGTCAGGTCATCCAGGGAGGCCACGACAGGCTGATCCCGCAATCGGAATAACTTGTTGCGTAACAGGTGTCGTGCCTTTCCCGCTCCACCAGTCACGAAACAACTATCCAAACAAACGGCCAAACCACGTGCAACTGCCGGTGCCGCAAGGCAGGTGCAGTGGACCCTCCCACTTGGGCCTTCGGTAGATCACCCTATGGCGCTGCGACTGCCAGCAGACGAAGCCTGCGAAGGGTGCCGAAATGGGTGGGCGGCCGCGCGTGAAGGGCCCCATGCCGAACTCCGTGTCGAACCCACGGGACCGCCCAGCCAAAACTGAAAAGCCTCGTGCTGTCCCCCCCCCTCCTTTTGCCCGTCTTCCGACGACGACGGCGACGACGGCCACGACGATGCCGGCGGTGACGACGACGATGACGCCGAGGCCGCGGGCGGCTGCGCGGAGCGAGGGCGGGCAGCTTCCCAAAACGAGGCCCTCGCCTGCAGCCCCAGGCCCCCCGTGGGAGGGAGGAGGGAGGAGGAGGAGGAGGAGGAGGAGGAGGAGGAGGAGGAGGAGGAGGAGAAGGAGGAGGAGGAGGAGGAGGAGGAGGAGGAGGAGGAGGAGGAGGAGGAGGAGGAGGGGAGGAGGAGGAGGAGGAGGAGAAGGAGGAGGAGGAGGAGGAGGAGGAGGAGGAGGAGGCAGTGGCCCCTCGCGCTCCGACTGCCGTGCGAGCGGCCGCCGCGCGCCTGCTGGGCGCTGCCTGGCGGCGCGGGGCCGGCGTCGCGCGCGCGCGCGCTGGTCGCGCCACTTGGGGGGCACGGCGTCGCGCAGCGTGCCGGGCTGCTCGTGGCCCGCGGGCACCGTGGGCGCCCCGCCCGGCGCCCCGCCGCCCGTTCCGGCGCGCCCCTGGCGCGTGCCGCTGCTCGGCGCGTCCGACAGCACGAGTGCAGCACGCTCTTCGCCCCGCGCGCGGGCTCCGCGTTTGAAGGTGGCACGGCGCATACGATCACGACGAACGGAGAGAGGAGGAGGAGGAGGAGGAGGAGGAGGAGGAGGAGGAGGAGGAGGAGGAGGAGGAGGAGGAGGCGGAGGCGGAGGAGGAGGAGGAGGATGGTGATGATGCTGATGCTGATGCTGATGCTGATGCTGATGCTATGATATTTAGTAGTATGATGGGGGTTATGTGCGAAGGCGGGCCCGACCGATGATGACGACAAAAAGAAAACGCCGCGCTGAGCCCTTGGCGTGCGGCGACCCCTCCTCAACGCGGCGCGCTTCAAACTCTGCAGCGCCCGCCTGGGTTCGACGCGGGGTGGGGCGGAGCCCAAAGGAGCACCAACACAGTGCAGAGTAGCTGAAAAACGAACTTCCCATGACCTCCCCCAACTTCCGCCACAACTTCCGCATACGATAACCAGCTTAACCGCAACTCGCACAAGCAATGATCGTCACTTATGCGTACACTAACTAGTTACATCGAAGCTCATGAGCCACCGTCCTAGATTCTTAGTGCTAAAGTCCATATATTGGTGATATTGAGCACTATGACCTAAAGTGTATCTTCCAGAACTTCTGGGGCGTGTCAACTCGAACGACGCGAGCCCAGCCTCCGCGGGCGTCGCGTACGTCGCCAAGCCCCGGTCGACGTACGCGTCGTGGGGGGCAAGGGCTGGCGGCGCCTCGCGGAGGTAGTCGCAGAGCGCCTGGGCCTCGGAGCCGAGCCTGGCGCGCTCGGCGTGGAACTCGGCCGGGAGGAAGGACGCGACGAAGCCGGTGGTCACGACGGCGTAGGTCGTGCCCTTCTCGACCTCGCGCCGCGGAAGAAAGCACGACGGGGGCTCGGGGCTGCTCTCGGCCTGCAGAGGTCGGGGCCGTCAGAACACGACGCTGGATGAGAAGCCGGTCCAGGGGAAGCGGTCAGGACGCCCAGGGGGGCCGCATTGGAAACATCAAGACGTCGCACGTTTGGGCTCAAGAGGGCCAAGAAGCCCTGAGATCTGGGCGCTGCGAGGTTGTCGCACCGCGCGCTCTCGCCTGGGTGCGGGCCCCGGGATCCTCACACATCGATCTGGCTCGAAAAATGTTGCTGAAGGATGGGATCCAGGGCGCCAGTCGCGATCTTCTGTAATGTTTTTTTTTCGCGACGACGTCGTGGACGTCGTCGCCGCCGCCGCCGTCGCCGTCGCCGTCCCCGTCGCGATTTTCTACAGAGAACGGCATTCGCATAGACTTTCGGAGCTCCGCGCGGACTTCCTGGGTCGGCGCTGCGGCGCTGGAGCGCGCCAGGGGCGGCGCCAGAGGCGCCGCCAGGGGGGCTCCAGCGCCGATCAGAGAAATGCGCGCGGAGCTCCAAGACATTGTGTTTGTGCATCTGTTGGATGGATCTCTCAAGATCTCGGCCGCCTCAGGCGCTGTGCGTTCAGACCAGAAACGCATGAAAGCCACTGGAAAGCGTGGCATTGACAGACTAGCTCCGCACACGTGTCAAATGCTCCAGCGAGCAAAACACAGAGGAGCCCCTGGACAGCGCCGATCCGAGAAATCCGCGCGAAGCTCTGAAAGTTTATGCTTATGCCGTTTTTTCTTCTTCGAAGACCTGGCGCCAGCCGTCGTCGCCGAGGATCTCGACGTCGTGGAGCTGGCCGTCCCCAAAGTGGCTGTAGCGCAGCCTCGCCAACGGGTTCCCGATGCCCTCGAGCACAAACTTCTGTATCACACCGAGCAGCGCGTCGCCCAGCACGTCGATCACGATCAGGTCGTTCTGGAACTGCAGGACGCTGATGCAGGAGGAGAGGAAGACGTCGCCCGCGGGCAGGTCCTACGCCACGAAAGTATACACATATACATATCTATATACAATATATATATATATATACACACATACACATCTATGTTTCTACATACTTAAGCATTTATGAAACATATATAAGCACGCATCTATGTATCATTGTATATGTACACATATATCTGTACATATATATATATATATATATATATATGTACAAGGACGCCCGCCGACGAGGTCCACTCTGTGCCGTCAAGGAGGGTGGCGGTGTATAAGATCGCGGGCCCTCTACGAGGGTTTATACACTGCCACCCTCCCATGAGGCCCAGGAGCAATCCACCTGGGGGGCGCTTATGTGTCTGTCTGTCTGTCTGTCTCTGTCTATCTGCCTGCCTGCCTGCATGCATGCATGCATGTATGCATGTATGTATGTATGTATGTATGTATGTGTGTATGCATGCAGGTAGGTAGGCAGGTAGGTAGGTATATGTATGCATGCATGTATGTCTGTCTGTGTGTGTCTGTGTCTGTCTGTCTGTCTGTCTGTCTGTCTGTCTGTCTGTCTGTATGTCTGTCTGTCTGTCTGTCTGTATGTATGTATGTATAAATGCATATATATATATGTATGTGCAAATATGGGTGTACGTCGTCTACATATATACATATACATATATATACACATATGATGCACTGATATGCATACGCACGTTTAAGGCGGCGGTCCAGCCACAAGCCGCCGTAGTTCATGAACGCCGCGTCGGCGTGGACCTGCCGCACCTCCGCGGCGTGCAGCATGGCCTGCCCCACGGCCTCGCCCAGGCTGCACTCCTCGGGGGCCACGGCTCCGCCACCGTGCCTCGAGGCACGCGTCGGCGTGTCCCCAGGTCCCTTGCGCGGTCAGCGCTATGCGGCGCGCGGCTCCGCGACAAGCACTGTGAGGCATGGGCGCGCGCCGCCCGCGCTGTCAGAGACGAGCTGGGCCAGGCGTGGAAGGCGCATGCGCGCGCAGCACTGCATGCGCAAGGCGCCTGGAAAAACATGCCGGCGCACGGGCGAGAGAGCCCAGCGCGCTGACCGCGTTGCCCTACCGCGGCCCCTGGCCCAGCTCCCCTCGGCCTCGGCCCTCAGTCCCGAGTACTCCTGTAATGGGGGCCCCGGGGCCCCAGTCCCCGGGCCTTGGCGCGTGCCCCCCTGGGGTTCCCAGCGGCTCGTCGCGCGACCTGCTCGGGCCCAAAGGGGGCCCCGAGACGGGCCAAAAAAGGCCCCAAGAGGCCCCCACGACAGTCCGCGAGGGCCCGGAGTCCCCGAAAGATCGCACCAAGACGCCTAAGGTGGCGTCCAGACGGCCACACAGGCCTCCAAGGCGCTCCACGAGGCCTCCAAGACGGCTCTCAACAGAGCCCGAAGAGGCAAATATCATATCATGAGTGGTTTTTGGCCTTCTTGCCTTTTCGGCTTCCCGACGCTCCCAAACGGCCCTGGAGGACCCGGCCCAAGAGGCGCCTAAGACGGCCCAAGATGCTCCAGAGACGGCTCCAAGATGGGGCCCAGATGGGGGACCCGAACGGACATTTCGAGCCTCGGCGCCGAGGGGCCCCCAGGAAGCCCCAAGAGGCCCCCAAGAGGCCCCCAAGAGGCCTCAAGAGGTCCACAAGGGGTCCCAAGAGGCCCCCAAGAGGCGCCCAAGAGGCTCCCAATAGGACCCAAGACTACCCCTAAGAGGCCTCCGAGAGCGCTCCGAAGAGACCCCAAGAAACATCCTTCAGAACTCTGACCCACAACCCAGACACGGTGGCGGGATGGGCCGAAGGCCATTCGACGACTTCGAAATCCCAAGAGACCTCACCCCGCGCTCCGTCACCGTACGGTCTTGAAGGCCCTGGCGGCCTTAGTCGCCCGAGACGTCCTCAGCGAACGACCCGAGTCCCAAAACCGTGCGGTGACCCCGAATCCCCACGCACATCGGTCTCCTCCGAAACTGTTCGGCTTCTGGGCCACATAGGTCGGCATTCCAGGCGGCCGTTCGGGACGATGCGGGCACCCCGGGAACGCTCTCGGTGAGGCAGGATGCGGGGGCCGGAGCCGGCTGCACGCGCGCCGAGGAAGAGAGGGAGGACAGGGAGGAGGAGGAGGAGGAGGAGGAGGAGGAGGAGGAGAAGGAGGAGGAGGAGGAGCGGAGGAGGAGGAGGAGGGGAGGAGAGGAGATGGAGGGAGGGAGGAGGAGGAGGAGGAGGAGGAGGAGGAGGAGGAGGAGGAGGAGAAGGAGGAGGAAGAGGAGGAAGCAGATGAGGCAGGAGGAGGAGGAGGAGGAGGAGGAGGAGGAGGAGGAGGAGGAGGAGGAGGGAGGAGGAGGAGGAGGAGGAGGAGGAGGAGGAGGGAGGAGGAGGAGGAGGAGGAGGATGAAGAGGAGGAGGAGGAGGAGAGGAGGAGGAGGGGAGGAGGAGGAGGAGGAGGAGGAGGACAGGAGGAAGAGGAGGAAGAGGAGGAGGAGGAAAAGGAGGAGGAGGAGGAAGAAGAATAGGAGGAGTAGGAGAAGCAGGAGGATAAGGATGCGGAGGAAGAGGAGAAGGAGGAGGAGGAGGAGAGGGAGAAAGAGGAGGAGGAAGAGGAGGAGGACTCACCACGCAGTGTGGTCACCACACCCTTTGGGTGCCCCCAAGCTCCGCGAAGCGGCACAGGTTGTCCACCGGCGACTCGGCACGCTCGTCCCACACCACGGCCCGGAGCGGCCGCTCCAGCGCCGCGTACGGCTGCTGGTTCCGGCTCCTGGTGGCATTTTTCTGCCCCACCGCGAACAGAAAGCCCAAACATGCTCGCGTCATGAAAAAAAGTCTGGACGGGAGGCCTCCTGCTGCTCCTCCTCCTCCTCCTCCTCCTCTTCCTCCTCCTCCTCCTCCTTCTCCTCCCCCTCCTCCCTTGGGCTGTTCTCGGCCTCTGTGAGCAATTACCGGGCCCCAGGGCCGTCAAACAACGACTCAGGAGGAAGAGCAGGCCCCAAGGAAAGGGTCGGGAGGCTGGGGAGCCGGCACTGGAAAAATCAGGACATCGCATGTCTGGGAGAACAGCACTGCACGTTCAAAACCCTGGCCAAGGTCAACAATGAAAACACACACACAACACATATACACACAAACACCGCCCACAGGAGGAGGCGGAGAGAAGCCGTATGGCGAATGGTACGACGTTGCCCAAAAACGTACACGTCGGTCGGAAGAAGTGGGCAGAAACATGAAGTAGGAAGGCTTTGGAAGTAGATTGGGCTTCCGCCCGCCCCCTGAAGAGAAGGGAAGAGGGAAAGCCACTCGACTCTTGAAGTAGGAAGGCGGCTAAAGTAGAATGGGATCTGGGGATCAAAAAATACCCACTTTCAACGACCTGCGTGTGTCGTCCCCTGGCCTGCTAATCCGGCTCCTGGTCACATTGTAGAGCTCCGACTGCCGCTGCTGCGCCACGGGCGCGTTCGGCACGTCGGCGCCGAGCGCCTTGTCGTTGCGGTACGCGTGCTGGGACACGCCCGCGTCCGTGAGCCGCAGCCTCAGCTCCGAGAGGCCAGACCAGGTGTTGCTGCGCACGAAGACGCGCTTCCTAGAGGCACAGCAGGGCGGTCAAGAAACGTCTGCTGCGCGTGTCGCGCGTCGCGGCCTCGGCGACGCGCCGTGCCCTGCGAGCGGATCGCGTGCCACTCCGCTTCGCCGGGCGGGAGGCGGGGGAAGACGCGGGGACGTGGACGCTGGGGGATCGGGAAGCGAATGTGGCGTGCCGCGCCGCAGCGTGGTGGGCCCAGAACCGGCGGAGCGACACGCGACACGCCAAGCCAGAGCTCCTGATCGCATGTGGTGCTCAGCTGATTCCTGGGACCGTCTTGGCGCCAACCGCTCCGCTCGAGCGTCGAAGCTGCGTCGAACGCCCGTCGACTCGAGCCGAGCCTGAGTCGAACCTGAGTCGGACCTGAGCCGAGCTGGAGTCGAAGCTGAGTCGAAGTGGAGTCGAGCTTGATCGAACTGGAGCCGAACTGGAGTCGAACTGGAGTCGAGCTGGAGCCGAACTGGAGCCGAACTGGAGCCGAACTGGAGTCCACATGGAGTCGAACAGATCTGTTGTAGGTGCGTCCCAGGAAGGTCCCCAAAGCGAGCATCGAAGTCGCATGCGTCAGCATTGAGCAGCGACCGACCGTCCTGGCATTCCTATAGGCCTACCACGACATGTTGGACATGTTCTAAGAACAGAAACCGTGTTCTTAGAACATAAGCCCGATGTGTTAAAACAAAGCAGTCTCAGCCAGAAAGTGTTATAAAACATGTCGTGCAGACCACAAAAGGTTCTTAGAACACTATTTGGTGGGCCTGTAGACGAGCCAGGACGCTCCGCCACTGCTTGACAGCAGCAATCTCTCGGAGGTCCGCGCTGCTTCCTGGAAAATCGGCCTTGGGCCCCCTCGCCGTCGCGCGGAGCACCTTTGCCAGAGGCGTCGCCGCAGGCGCCGCCAACGGCGGGGAGACCCAGCGCCGAGGCGAGGCAGCCTCGCAGACCTCCGCGAGCGTGGGCTCGTGCGGGTCTCGGCGGCGAGCGGAGGGGCGGCGTGAGAAGGGGAAGACCCGTTTTTGGGTGCCTTCGGGGATGGAAGAGGAAGAAAAAGAAGAAACACATTAAGAATAATAATAAGAAAGATAATAATAATAAAAATAATAATAAATAAATGAATGAATGAATACATAAATAAATAAACAGATAAATACATAAATACTAATAATAGTAATAATAGTAATGATAGTAATAATAGTAAAAGTGCTATTATCATTATTACTACTATTATTAATAATAATATAACTAATACTAATAATAAGAATAATAATAAGAAGAAGAAGAGGAAGAAGAAGAAGAAGAAGAAAACGACAAAACGCCATGAACAGAAACTGTTCGCGCTCCGCGCGGACTCCTCGGATCCGCGCCGGGGCCTCCCCCTCCCTGGCGCGCGGAGCGCGCCAGGGGCGGCGCCAGAGGCGCCACCAGGGGGGTCCCAGCGCAGATCCAAGAAATCCGCGCGGACTGCCCAGAGTTTATATTTGTGCAGGTTTTTCTTCTTCGAGGGGACGGGCCAAGACAACCGCTGCTTCAACATGTGGAAAGCCGCTGTTCGACAGCAAATTATTTCGCTCTGACCGCTCGCACCGTTGCCGATGTGCCGTCATGGCACGGCTTCTGCGTGCGTGCTGGGAAGGCGTAGAGAGCCCCTCAGAAGGCCCCGGAGCTTCCGAGCCTTCCGAGAGTGCCCGCCCCTTCTCGCTTCCCCCCACCCTAGGCTCGCCGCCGATGGTTTTGCCATCTCTTCGGCTTCCGCTGCAGGGGGCCCGAGAAGTGCTCGGTGAGGCCGACGTTGTCCCTGCGCGACGCGGCGACGACGGCGTCGAAGGGCCCGTAGTCCAGCAGCCACGCGAGCGTCTCGGCGCGGATGCCCACGCCCCCGAGGAGCACGAGGCATGCGACATCCGGGTGGGCCCGCCGGAGCGCCTCGGCCGCCAGCAGCACGTCGGTCGGCACTGTCGAGTAGGCGATGTAGAGGGACGCCTCCCGGGAGGAAGGCCACACAACGTGTGCGTCGCAGCGCGGCAGAGGCAGTCCGCGCGCGCGCCCAGGCGGTCCGGGCAACGGACAGCGCAAATTGACCGGGGGCAGGAGGAGGGAAAGACAGGCGAGAGCGGCCGCGAGGGAGGAGGGAGGGAGGAGAGGGCACTGGGAGGGCCACAACACGGCACGAACACCGACATCCAGGCCTCGAAAAGTTTACTCGGTGGGCGAGCCCATGGGGGGAACTGCGAGCGAGAGAGGGCAGGCCGTCTCCTCAGAAGGCGGCGGGCCTCCTCGGAGTCTCTCCGGCCTCCTGAGAAGCCGCCGGTGGCTTCGGAGCGGGATGACAGGGCCTCTCAGTGAGAGGGCGCGAGTGCCCTCGAGAAGCTCCGCGCTACCTGCCTGCGAAGGCCTACCTGCGCTCGCCTCCCCGCGGGGATCGTTGCGGACTTCCGTCTGCGCTGCTGCTTCTTCCTCCTACGGGCCTCGTGGTCCTCGAGCTGCTCGAAGTCGCCGCCGGCAGCGCCGAACGCCGCCGCGAGGAGCGTCGCATTCACGCGGTACAGGTCCCGGCTGCGGTACCGCTCGTCGCCGAGCCAGTAGTCCTCCTGCGGCACGTCGCCCGCCAGGAGCCGCGCCTGCGCGCCCTCCGGGTCGAGCTTGAGCAGGGCCTGGTCGAGGCTGAACCAGTAGTTGGGGCTGTGCGGGTAGAAGCCGACGAAGCCGACCTTCTGGCCCGTCGGGGTGGTCCGCACCAGCCACGGCACCTCTGGTTTCGTGATACGCGGCCCCTACCCCCAAGAAAACAGGACTGCCCATGGTGGACATGCACTGACAACTCTCTTTCGCTCTATACCGCTGCTCATGAGCCACGCCTGCATCGCAAGGAGGGGGGGGCGGCCAGGCAGGGGCATACCGCCGCTCCTTGACAAACACCTTGCCCCGACGAGTGGTCGCCACGATCGCTGCGGCGACCTCCAAAACCGACCCGGAAGTTTGGCTCGGGGTCGGCGGTGGACAAACCTCCTTTTAGTAAACCACCCTTTAGTGAAAACGGCCTAGGACCGAAACCGACGGACCTGGACCCACGAAAATGACGGCAGCGACGCCCCCTCGCGAACCGAAAACGGCCAATTCGCTAATCGACGTGTCAGGGTAGGAGGTCTACAGTCGGAATTCATTGGACAGGACTCGCGAGAGGACACAAGACCCTTCCGGGGGCCACATTGCCACAGGAATGCAGGAGGCACGGGTCGCGAGACACAGGACACAAAGGTACCCTTGATTTTGGCAGGGTCGACCTACCAATCCGGGCCGACTGTATCAACCTCCGATTCGGGGTCGGATGCCACGCAGCGAACCTTCTTCGCGTTCAGGGGCTCGAGCGCGCCGCCGAACTCGGCGTTCGCGAGGAGCAGCGGGCACCGCCGCCGCGCGAGCCCCTCCGCGAGGCTCCGCAGGCTCTCCGCCGAGTCGCTCGTCGCGCCGAGCTGCATGTCGTACATGCTGAAGAGGCAGCCTCGCGGGCGGCGGCCGTGTCCGCGTCGTTCATTTCTGATCGTGCTCGTTTCTGATTGTTCCTGGCCCCCTAGGTGGCCAGGAAGAGGCCCATGACAGAACAATCAGAAATGAAAGGACCTTGGCCCCCGAAAAAATCACGGAGTTCTCGAAGCCTTGAGAATGAACCGTGTGTCCGCATCCGCACCCTCGCGGTCCGAGGAGGCCACGTGCGAACCCTGCCCCGCCACTCGGGTCGGGCGAAAGGGGGGGATAGCAAAGGGGGGGTTTGAGAATCAGCTCACGTAGCTGATTTTCCCCATATACCGAGGAATGGGCCCCTCGGTGAGGCCGAAACCAGCTGCATGCAGCAAATTTCGTAACCCCCCCTTTCCCACCCCCCCCCTTTCGCCCGGCCCGAGCCACCCCACGACCTCTGGGGGGGGGGAGGTCGCACGTGGCCTCCGCGGTCTGGCCTCCGGGGCGCGACCCCGCGGATGCGCGGCCGCACGGACCCGTCCCGCGCGGGGCCACGGCCCGGACGCCCGGCCCACGACGCCCACGACGCCGCGGATACGGATTCTTCTCGCTCTTCTTTCAAAGCCGCCGGCAGGAGGACATGCCCGACCGAAGTGCAGGGGGAGGGGCGCCTGCTCCTCCTCCGCCTCCTCCTCCTCCTCCTCCTCTGCCCCCGCCTCCTCCGCCTCCTCCGCCTCCTCCGCCTCCTCCGCCTCCTCCTCCTCCTCCTCCGCCTCCTCCTCCTCCTTCGCCTCCGCCTCCGCCTCCGCCTCCTCCTCCTCCTCCTCCCCGGGGAGGAAGCTTTTTCTCGCCCGCGGCAGCCGTCGTACGGCACCATGTCCTGCAGCTCCAGGTTCGGCGCGGCGAACGGGTAGTCCGGGTGGTACAGGAACGGGCCGCCGAACCACGAACCGCCGAGGTCGAAGACGTAGACGCCCTGCGTCGCGTTCAGCCTCTCTCTCTGCTGCTCGACGTACGTGATGCGCCGCGCAGTGCCGCCGTAGCAGGACGCGTCGTCGTCGGGGTCGCACGCGTTCCCGGTGTCGTCGACCGCCGCGAGGCGACCGTTCATCGAAGCCGTCAGGAGGAGCGTCATGTCGAAGCACTGCGACGACGGGTCGCACGGGGGCCACACGCTGTCGCCGCGAGGAAACAGGAAGGTGTAGACGTCCTGTCCGCCGTAGGCGTTGGTCCACTTCATGTCAGCGAAAGCCCCGCACCTGCTGAAGTAACAATCCGCGCCGTCGAAAGCAAAAGTGTCTGCTCCGAAAACGACTGCGTGCTGCTTGCACTTCTCGACGCTCGCGCCGTCGTCTGCGCCCAACCAGGCCAAGTATGTGCACGCACTGCTGTGTCCTTCCTCTGCCGAAACGACATGCGCCCAGTCTCCAACAAGAACGCTGTATACCTCCTGTCCCCCGTATGCGTCGGTCCACTTCATGTCGGCGGCAGCCCCGCACTTGCTGAAATAACAATCCGAGCCGTCGAAAGCAAACGTGTCGGCCCCGGAAACGATTGCGTGTTGCTTGCATCTCTCGACATTCGCGCCATCGTCTGCGCCCATCCAAGTCAGGTACGAGCACGCGCTGGTGTGTCCTGCCTCCGCCGAGGCGACCTGCACCCACGGCCGAGTGAACACGGAATAAACATCCTGCCCGCCGTATGCACTGGTGAAAGTGAGATCAGCCGCAGAGCCACAGCGACTGAAGTAGCAGTCCACATCCTTGTCGAACGCGAACGTGTCAGCTCTGAGAACGACCGCGTGACGGGCACACTTCTCGACACTCGCCCCGTCGCTCCCAGATCCACCCCCGTGCTCCCCCATGGCTCGCTGAGGCGTGGTAGAATTCCGAGCGCTGCCTGGCAGGTTTGTCGTTACAGTCAACCCGTATCGTAACGACGCGCGGTAAGGATGCAAGGGCCTTGGAGGTCCGTGTGAACGTTTTCCGAACGAGGCTGGCCAGCGAAAGTGGCCAAGGATGGGCCGAATGGGGCAAGGATGAGAGGTACTTGCCCTTGGCAAGGTTGCTCATCCTTACCACGCGGGTCGACTGTAATCTGCGAAGGGGCCACCCACCCAACCCCGCCACCGTGCTCAGGGCAGGGGCATGCACTGCCTGGTCACCCTGACGCGCCCCGTGGCGCTCCCCAAGGCATCCAAGGTGCCCAAGGCCGCCGAAATGGCACGATATGCCTCCAGTGCAGCCCAGGGTGGCCTCAAGACGGCCCAACATGGCTCCAAGAAGACGTCCAGGAAAGCCCGCAGAAGTCAACATCGATGATTTCCCCTACACGTTGATGTGCATGTCCGCGTTCTCGCCTTCCAGTTCCCGTCAGCTCAGCGCGGCCCGAGAGGCCAGCAACGCCGAGACAGTCTTGGCGGCCGTGGGGCGGTGATTGCTCCACAGGGGCGCTCGCGCCGCACTGGCGGAGCCACGAGCAGCACCGCGGCGGCAGCGGCTCCTGGGACCAGCGGCAGCGGACCGCGAGCGCGACACGCACCACGCGCAGCAGCACCGAGGCAGCGGGCAGCACCGGCGCGCGCACCGCAACTGGCGCAGCGGGCAGCACCGGCGCAGAGGGCAGCACCACCACGACCACCACTGGAGGCGCCGACGACTACCGCGGGACACCACGACCAGTACGGCCACCGGCGACGACGACCGCCCCCCGTCCCCCCCTCCTGTCCTTTCCCTTCCTCTCTCTCGGGGCCGGCCGCCCCAGCCCGCTGGTTGCGCCCCGTGTTCTTCCTCTCCCTCTTCCCCGCCCCCTCCCCGTCTGGGGGCGCGCAGCTGATTGTGCCGCGCGGCCCTCCCGAGGCCTGGGTCAGGGGCATGTCGCCCGCAGTCTCGTGGAGGCTTTGGCGTTTTCCAGCAGGGGAGTCACGGCCGCGATGCGCCCAACCCCAGGGGACACGCACCTCAAAGTTAGGTGCGTGCCAGGGCTGGGGATTCTGGAGGAGGCGTGGGAGGAGGCGAGGAAGAGGAGGAAGGAGGAGGAGGAGGAAGAGGAGGAAGAGGAGGAGGAGGAGGAAAAAGCGGGAGAGAAGAAAAGAAAACGACGACAAACACGAAGAGGGACACCCCGACACAATACGGACGGGCGTGCCACATTTAACGGCTACCACAAGCCTCGGGGCACGAGGTGTCGCTGGTTACGGTTCCGATGCGCTCCTCGAACAATCGCCACCCAAAATGGTGGGCTGGCACGGTGGTGGGACTTGCCGCAGGCAGCCGAATAAGAAACCGACGTACGCGCACGCGCTGGTGTGCTCACTCTCGGCACCGAGGAGCAACTCGAAGCTCCCCGTCAATACTGTGTAGACGTCCTGTCCCCCGTAGGCGTCGGTCCACTTCATGTCGGCGAAAGCCCCGCACCTGCTGAAGTAGCAATCCGCGCCGTCGAAAGCGAATGTGTCGGCCCCGGAAACGATTGCGTGCTGCTTGCACTTCTCGACGCTCGCGCCGTCGCCTGCGCCCAACCAGGCCAAGTATGTGCACGCACTGCTGTGTCCTTCTTCTGCCGAAACGACATGAACCCAGTCGCCAACAAGAACGCTGTATACCTCCTGTCCCCCGTAGGCGTCCGTCCATTTCATGTCGGCGAAAGCTCCGCACCTGCTGAAGTAACAATCCGAGCCGTCGAAAGCAAAAGTGTCCGCCCTAGACACGACTGCCTGTCGCTTGCATTTCTCGACGCTTGCACCGTCGTCTGCGCCCAGCCAGGCCAAGTATGTGCACGCACTGCTGTGGCCTTTCGGTGGTCGGCGTTTCTGTCCATGCCCCTGCCCTGCCCCGCAATGCAAGGGGTTGGGGAAGGTGGCATGGATAAGGAATCGAGCCTTGGGGAACTGAAGTCGAGAGTATCTGTGCCACTCCCTTTGCACTGGGGTGGGGGGCGGGGGCAGGATCAGGGGTACAGATCAAAAGCCGATGGCCGAGCCTTGGTCATCACTCAATACCTGTACCCAGAGTTTTGTTGCGGTCGCTGCGCCGAACAACACGAATTGCCACATGTGAGACCACATGTCTCCATTGAGAGATCCTTGAATATTAAATCGTGCTTGGGCCGATGTGCTACGGACATGCACTGTCAGCGTGACTTCCGGGATGACGGCTCTTGGATATGCTGTCTGCTGAGACAGGCAAGCATAAAAAAGCCTGACCGAACCACCACCGCGCGTGCAGTGATTGGCGTGCGATGGGCCTTTGTACTTTCCTCAAACAGTGTTCGAACCCAGGGGGATCGGCTCGTACTTGGTCTCTGCGGATGGGCCCAGTGTGCGTGCGCGCGCGCTTGTGCATGTATGTGTACCACTGTGTGCCAGTGTGCGTTTGTGCGTCCGTGCCTGTGCGTGTGTTTGTGTCTCTGTGTGTGTAAGTGTTTGCGTGTCTGCGTGTGTCTGTGTATGTGCCTGTGCGCGCGTCTGTCAGCGTATGTGTATGCGTATGTGTGTCCGTCTGTCTCTCTGCCTCTGCGCTTGTATGTGGCAGGATATTTCACCGCTGCGCCAAGCTCCTCCTCTCCACACCCGTTGGACTTGGGCCCTGGCTCGCCGATGGGGGCGGCCGAATTCCCGTCAGTTCTTCGAGCTTGCGTCCGGCCGCGAGTCGCGAGGGCGACCCGACAGGACAACTTAAAGCTGAAACCGTTTGCAATCGCTCTTCGCCACGACGAGCGACGGGGCGGCGCGCGCGCGCCCACCCCGCCGCGTCGGCGCCGTCCCTTGGGCAGAGATGCCACCGCCCCCGCCGCCGCGCAGGCAGCAGCGGCGGCAGGAGGGGGGGGGCGAGGAACGGCGAAAAGGGGAAGGGCTAAAGGATCGGAACCCGGACGGGGTTGCTGACAAAAGAACGCGGGCGCCAGATACGAGGGGTGACGCGCACACCCCGCCCAAGAAGCCCAGGGAGGGGCTCTTCGGTCCATTTGGCTCCAGGACCCCACACTTCAGAGCGTGAATTACCTCCCCCGCTTTCGCTTCCAGGCAAAACCAAGCCATACCACGCGCCTCCTCGTCAAGCGTCCTGACCAGTACAGGCCGCAATTTGGCATTGTTTGGTATCTCTTGGAAGCGAGGGTGGTCAAAAGCGAGGTAGGTTTGTTTTCCCCCGAACACTAAAAGAATTAAGAGACAAACGAGCGTGGCCCAAAAACAAAACAAACGCGATCCTTGTGGATAAGAGATAGCAGCGGAAGAGGCCCCGCCCCAAGGCGGAGCGGCTGCGCCCGAGGCGTCTGCAGGTACTTCGCGTTCCTGGCCCTCGAGATGTCCGCAGTGGCGAACATCTCCAGGGCGCAATGGTCAAGGGGACGTACGACCGGGGTACAGGGGACTCGGAAGTCCCCGACGAGGTCGTCAAAAAAATGACGAGGCCGAGACTGCATTTTGACGAGGCCTCCCGCTGCAGACATCCCACGAAGCTCCTCCTCGTCAAAATCCGAGGCGCGGTCGTCAAAAAACGATGGCGAACCCGAGTCCTGGCAAACCCTGGTCTTACGCTCCCCCGAAATGGGTCATCGTCCACGGGATTTGACCCGCTGGAAGATAAAGCGCAACAGCAAGTGCGCGTTGCAGCAGCGCGCGACAACGCTGCACGTGGAAAGACAATGCCCACGGGCCGAAAGGCAGGATGGACAACGCAGCTTTTTAAATCGGATTCAGCGGTCAAAGGAAGAGCGGCGAGAGACGCAAAATGACGGGACGACAGGACGCCCTAGACTGGAAACGCGCGACGCAAGAGAAGAACTTTAATAACGCAGCCAAGGAGCTCGAGATGCGCAGAACCGTAGCAACGGGCCGCCCCGCTGCGACGCGCCGTCTGTCGGCCCCGATCCCCTCCGTCTCTCGGAGGTCTTAGCGCCGGCGAGGCCAGCTTCTCGAGCAGCTGGCCGCAGGGGCCCGCGGGCCGCGCCTTTTCAGGGGCGGGCGCAGGAGTGGCCTGATGCAGGCTGCTGGAGTCTCGATCGGCCATCGGGCGCCAGTGCAAGCCGCGCGCCTGCCGAGTCTCCGGCCCCGAAGATGCCGCTGCTGCCGCGGGCGCAGCATGGCGCGAACACCGTGGCGCGCCAGGGGCAACTTGAGTCACCGTAGCGCTGGGTTGCCCCCCCGCAGTCGCCGCGGCGCCGGTTGGCCCCTGCGCGTTGGAGACAGACCTCGGCGACCACGCAGCGGCGGTTTTGTCCCGCCGCGGCGGAAACATCCTCTCAGGGCGGCTGCCCCCCATCGCGCGGGGAGGCAGACTCGCGAGGTGCTCGGCGACAGGTGGCCCCGTCGCGCGGGAGCAAGCGCCCCACCCCCCCCCCCCTTCCGCGTTCCACGCCTCTCTGTTCCCCCCGTGGGAGCTCGTCGGGTAGAACGCGCGCCAGCGCGGGCTGGCTCGCGCGCCCTCGCTCTGAACTGCTGGACATCGACCGCGGGCGGCCGCGAGCCGACCTCGGCGGCGCTATGTGTTTCCCTCTGTTGCCTTGGGGTGGCCTCCGCGACCCCCCCAGGGAAGTGCCCCCCTCCCGCGCGCCCTCTCGGGCCTGCAGGGTGCTCCTTCGCCCCGCGAGGCGAGGCGGCCTGTTCGGCGCGTCGTCGCCAGGGCCAGCGCGGCCCCCGGAGGGCGAGCGTTCTGGGGGGCCACCTTTGCGTGAGGCGTTGGCGGCCACGTCTCCGCCGTTGCCGACGCGCGCAAAGCTGCGCGCGCCCTCCCGTTTACAACGCCCACTGCGGCGACGCCCCCGCGTCGGTCTGCGCCTCCATTCACGTCGCGGTTTGGGGCGCTTGCCTTCTGCGGCAAACTCTTCGCATGACTTGCGAGCGTTCGACTTTTCGGTTCGCCCCCGCGCGCGTTCGGTTCAAGCCCCCAGGGCACTGCCGCGGGTAACCATCTGAATTTCAATGGCTCCACTGGATCCAGCCGTTACAAATCCATCCCTTTGCTCGCGGACATGGCTGAGCGGCCTCTGTCCGCCGGCACCGTGCCCCTGCGTGCCGTTTGCAGGCGCTGTCTCTCATGGAGTTTGGTGCGCTTGTCGTAAAGCCACTCGTGGCAATTACTTGGATCGCCTCTTCCCATCCTGCGGACTGCCCCCGCGTTATGCCGGAGGGCGCCATGGCTTTCTACCTGTGTCCGGAACAGGGATTCAAGGATGGGCGACCCAGGGAAATCTTGCACCCCCAAAGAACGCGCAGCCCCAATCCTTAATGCACCCGTTGGGAGCACTGCCCTTCGCTCACATTGAGGTGGGCGAAGTCAAAGATGCAGCCGTCTTCTGTTCTACAACCATAAAAATGCTTGTCGTCCTTTGATGCGCCGACCGCTGGCCTTACCTTCGTCATTCCCCGTGTTGACTCTCCGTCTGAGGTTCATAACGTCTGAAGATGTTGCTGCAGGCTGCGGCTATCTTCATACCGGGCGTCTCGAGTTCGCCACTGTCCGCGAGGGGCTCATCTGCTGTTGCGGCATCCTCAATCACGCGGGGCCAAGTGACGCAGTTTTCCGGTCCGTCTGAAGCAGAGCTCGTCGTCTCGCACATTTCCTGCCTCCGCTGTCGGAAGTTGAGCGCAGCAGGTAGGCCTCGTCATTGAAGCTCATCGGCCTCTTTGTGTTCATTGTATTTGGCGCTGTCCGAACTGCGTGTTCTGCAGAACGCTCCCGTTCATTTTTGGATGGTCCAGCGCCGGCGCCGCGGGGCACATCCCCGATGGGCGAAGGTGGCGCGCGCTTGCGCTGATAGTCCTGGATGGGCGATTGGGCCCGCTGGGTCGCTGCAGGTGCGGTGCGTTCTTGCTGGCCAGGGTTCTGATTTTGTGGCGCGGCGTAGCCGCCATTGGCTCTGCCGACCTTGTAGCCGCTAGCGGCGGGTTGTTCCGTCGCCGCGCGCCGACATGCCGCGCGCGTAGCGGTGGGTTTCCCTCCGCAGCCTCACGCGCAGGGGGCGTGAGGACCGTGGTGCCATCGGAGACCTGGCCCCAACTACTGTCGACTCCACAAGTTCCCGCGGCTGTTGCGGCATGGGCGCAGGCTGCGGCAGCCCCATCACTGAGCTCACGTGCCTCGTGACTGGTGACACTTGTCTAGCAGAGATCGCAGAGAAACGTCTTTCCGACGTATTCCGGTTAGCGCCCACTTTTGTTCATCAGATCGAAGAAGTTAGCCAGCCCGGCAAATTCAGCATCCGCCTCACTTGTAGGCCTATCCACGCTAATGGCGCTCGTCGTACTATTATAATGGAGTTGGTTGTTCAGGTACTTGTTCGCATGCCTCGAATCTTTCGCGCGTGTCTGCGACGCGTATCTAAATCCAGTGGCGCAATTCCGTGGGCAGAAATCACGTCGCTATTCCTAACACGCGGCCATCTGAGTGATTTCGCTGCTCTGGGGGGGCCGCGCGGTTGACAGTGCCATTCACGGTGGTTACAATTTCTGCCATGTGAGTTTTGCTTCGCTCCAGCTTGCCGCTTTTTGCAAGCAGTTGCGCTCGCAAGGCTCCGATTTTTGCCTGTGGTGTATACAGCGTGTCATCGCGCGGCTTATTGATGAGCTGATTGCTCCCTCGCTCGGCTTCAAGCTTATTGAATCGTCGGGCCCGTGCCATAAGCTGTTCATAAAAGTAGGCATGACCACTCTGTTTAGATTGCTGCTCCTGCTAGGCCACAGGGAATTGAACATCAGCGCGAGCTTCAGCATCGATCGCTGGGCGGAATGTTTGTGGATGACTGGCCAACTGGGCCATCGTCCGGACTTCTTCTGCAACCGCCCGCATTTGCTG